TCCGCCGCCGCGGGCCCAAGGCAGCCTGAGCTGGGGCGACGACGGCCCGGCCTGCCTCGTCGTCAGCGACTTCGGCTGCCCGCTCTCGTCCTGCCACCGCACCGACCCGCTCCGCCGCCTGCACGCCCACCGGTAAGGCCGCGGGGCCCTCCGTCCTCTGGCCGGGCCGGCCTACCTCGCAGGGCTGCTGAGAGGACTGGGCGGGGCTCAGTCCGTTGCCTGGGTCTTCCCCCTCCCTCAGGCCTTCCAACCTCCCCCTTTTTCTGTCGCACCCTCGACCCCTCACGACGACCCCGTGAGGCAGACCAGGCTGAGGGAGGGAGGGAAGGACTGAGGGACTGGCCAGAAGGGCCCCTCCTTTGAGTTGAGGGGGAGAAAGAGGTAATGGGTTTTTTTTTGGGGGGGGGGGCTGATCTTTTGAAAAGGTCGTTTTCGGTTGGAGCTTATGGGAGGGGTGATCATCCTCACCTCGTGGTCGCCACCCCGTTGAGGGCAGTAGTGATGGTTGTGTTGGGGTTTGCAGAATGACTCCCACGGTGAGCAAGTCATTGCTTTAAATGTCTGCTTCATCACCACCTCAAAGTGATGGGTTGTTGTTGTTTTTTTAATTTTTTGGGTGTTGTTTCAAAGGAACTTGCTCGAGTATGCAGAAAATGTAGGGTGTGGGTTTCCACAATAAAACAGCTCTTTTGAACTTGGACGTTTTCTGCTCCGGCAAACGGATGTGGCTGAATTTAGCCGGGGAAACTGATGACGTGGCCGGGGTGGGGGATTAGGTCCCAGCCATGTCGAATATAACTTTATTTGTTTTGCTTTATAAGTAAACATTTGCCTCCCTGTGACATAATAGCATGCCCATTTCACGTGGTTTCTCTTCGGATCGTATAAATCTTTTCACGTAAGGCAAATTAGGAATGAAGGGAAATGCATACGGAATGGCAAAACACAGATCAGAGGACTAACAGCCCAGAAATATGTACTTTGAAATAGAAATGGCACTGGTCTAAAGTTTAACATTAAAAAACAAATACATTTGAAGCCTTTAAGTGTGAAAATGAATAGTGAATTTTCTAGATACCAATATAGGTGTACAATGATTGGACATCCTAGGAGCTTTTTTTATTTTGAGTAGAGATTATAGTGGAGTGGGAATGGATTTGCCATCCATTTAAAAAAAAAACAGCTGTTTCCAACAACTGTCTAGCAGACAGAAAGTTAACAGCAGTTTTCTCTTAATCACTGTTACTGGAAGGAATATCAGCGTTTCCTGTTCAGTTTTTATTTCTGTGGTTGCTGTGTTGAGCCTAGGAGCAGGGCCAGGAAAAAAGATGGCTTTTTTTTTGCTGTAGTTCAGCTTTACAGTTTGCTTTCTGACGATTTTCCTCTTGCCTTTAGCAATATTTAGAATAATGATGAATAATACTAAACTAGAGTAGACTTCGGTTTAGATGGGCGGGGTATAAATCTAATAAATACTAACAATTATACCTTGCATTATAAAGCAGTGTCATATTGAGAACTTTATTTTTCTCCCAGAGATTTGGTAAAATATGCCTGGCTTTGCTTATTTGCTGCAGCTAGCTGGACCTGTGGAACTCTTAAGAGAACAGAGTATTCTTTACGTAGAATATTGTTACTTTAAAAAGCTTTAAGAGATTTCATGTTAGGACTGAACTTTGTGGCACAGATAATAGTACACAAAGATCTCAAGCAGATACCCATCAAGAGGCATTCACATTCATTGTTTATTTGTGCTCATTTTTAATTCCAAGTAAGCTAGCTTTGGGCCCTGTTACTGTTTAAAAAGGTGTCTGAAGAAATGGATTTGTCCACGAAAAAAAAAAGGTGTCTGAAGAAATGGACTTGTCCACAAAAACTTACATTAGTTAGTTTTGTCTTTTTTCATTTTTTCCCCTTGAGACTTACATTAGTTTTCAAGGTGCCACAACTTTTGTCTTTTTTCATTTTTTCCCCTTGAGTGTTAAAAGTGACTTTTGATCTGTTTTTGCAGGTGGAACTTGACGTCGTGTGGCACAAGCGTTGCCAGTTCTGAATGCAGTGAAGAATTGTTTTCCTCTGTCTCGGTCGGTGACCAGGATGATTGCTTCTCTCTCCTGGATGATCAGGAGTTAACATCTTTTGATTTGTTCCCAGAGGGCAGCGTCTGCAGTGATGTCTCGTCCTCTATCAGCACATATTGGGATTGGTCTGATAGTGAGTTTGAATGGCAGGTAAAAAAATATTTAAACAGTTTGGGTGAATGGAAAAATACTTGGTTGTCTCTGCAAGAATAAGCTGTTAGGTCTGTAAAACATGATTTGGAAAAGGTTGTGTTCTCATCAGAGCAGTTAGACAACTGAGCAGTGTTAGGCGTGGCTACTTGGACGGTAGAGTGGTGTTTTGTTCTAACAGTTTTCTCCAGATAACTTGCGTGTAGGGCTGCGGTCTTGCAGTGCAGTCTTAACCTGAAGATGCACTGACTGTAGGGAAACAGGAATAGGAAGAAGCATCTTCTGCCAAATGAAATCCCCTTTGTGTTGCCAGGACCTGCCTCTGCTCAGAGATCTGCCAGTAGAATGGCTCTGCTGGCAGAAGAGTGAGGAAAGGGGTGGTGAAGGGAGCAGTGTGAGGGAGAAACGGGATTCCACCAAATCCCAACCTTCTTCTGCTTAGGTACATAGCCAGCATGCCAACAAAAATTGGATGAACGTTAGGGTTGAGTCATTTCCACAAGTGGGGTTAAATTGAGCACAGTGTCAGCTAGTGCACAATGAGGTCATCTGGTCCTGAGCCATCTTAGCAAGTTAGGATTGCACTCAAAATTTCTTATGTTGAATATTTTACAGCATGTTCCTGAATACTGGATTGTACTGCTGTCTTCTAAAGTGATCTTTTCTTTACTACTCTTAAGTTGCCTGGCAGTGACATTGCAAGTGGAAGTGATGTGCTTTCCGATATCATACCCAGTATTCCGAGCTCTCCATGTCTGCTTCCGAAAAAGAAAAACAAACACAGAAATCTTGATGAGCTCCCATGGAGTGCAATGACCAATGATGAACAGGTACAAGCACTGTGTTTGGGAGATGCAAATAGCATCATCTGTGCAAAGATGGTCATTTATTAGGTTATATGAAAATGTATAGTATATCCTGGTGTATTTTTTGTGCCTTTGAATTATATGCTGAATCTAATAGCAACTAAAATAAACCAGAAAATACTATAGTATTAACAAATAGAGAACAAAACAATAGAGATGGAAAAAGCTGCAGTGTTTAAGCAGAAGTATCCAAAAAAAATCTATCCAGCAAACTGAAACCTAATGTTGCATGTATGGCAAAATGTCAGGAGAAAGGGGAGGGTGATTTGGAGTAAAGAATATCCCCATTAAGATGCACTACAGAGAAGCTGCTTCCTCTTCTCCTTATCAGCCAAGTGTACACAATATGCAGGTCACAGACAAGGTCCCTGTATTAGTTCTTGGTGTGTGGATAGACCCATTGGATAGGTATACACAAGCGCACAAGGCTTGAAATCTTGTTGCTTAGTGTGCTAAGTTATGCTAGAGTGGATCTATTGAATCAGTGGGGATTTGGTGAAATAACCCCTGTGTACATTCCATTGATTCAAATTGGCTTACTCAGCGTGCAAGTTACTTGATGGCCATACTCCAGTGTGACTTAAATTTGCTTAGCGGTAGGGTTTCAGCCATGATTTAGAAGTGAATGCCTAGATGAACCAGGTGTGGTGGATAGAATGTTGTCCTGGGACTTAGAGAACATGGTATCAAAACCCTGCTTAGCCTTGGAACCCCGCTTGGGGATTGCACTGGTAAAACCACTTCTTAATTACCTCACATACCCAAGAAAGCCTACTAGGCTTTGCTGTAAGTCAGATGTGACATCACAGCACTTAACGCACAACACAATTCCTACACAAAAAGTTAATTTTTTGGTCCCGCCGTCCCCGTGGTTTTATTCAAGACATTGTCAATTGTAAAAAGGTTGATATTATCTGTATTCCAACTTTCTCTAATTTATGCTCATACCAATATAAACAGATTTCTAGAATGTCCATTTTTAATTACATACATATAAGCAATGCTGCCAAATACAGCAAAAATGTATGTTAAAGAATTAATATGGCCATTAGGAACCAAACAGTGATGATAGCAGCAACCATTAGGAGACCACTTGAGAGAGGTGTCTAAACGAGGAAAGGAGAAATACTACTTAAATTTTCTGAAGAAACAATTCAAGAAGCCTGGTGCCATGACTGTTACGATCCTGTCTTTTCTAACTACCTGCTTCACCCCTGAATAGGGGAATATGTGGAGCAGTGCCTCTTTTGATTGCTTGTTAGTAATTACCTGGTTATTTTTTTTTGACCCATAGGTTGAATACATTGAATACCTGAGTCGTAAAGTCAGCACAGAGATGGGGCTTCGAGAGCAGCTCGATATTATTAAAATTATTGACCCCACTGCTCAAATTTCACCTACAGACAATGAGTTTATAATTGAGCTCAACTGCCTCACTGATGAAAAGCTGAAACAGGTATGTTAAAACTTTCCATGTTGTTTTAATGCAACTGTTGGAGGTAGGGGTGATGTCCCCCCCCCCAATATGCTGTTGCTACATAATTTCAGGCAGTTTTCAGAGAGTTAATTGTTAGTTTCAGCAACAACAAAAATAAAGCAAACAATTTTATTGAGGCAGTGTGAGGTGAACAGATTTATTTGTGTGACTTTTCAGACACACCTTGGTCAATATCTCATTTAACTGGCTGTACCAAGATACATGGCAGCCAGCTATAGATTTAAGTGGTTGCAAATGATTAATGCTTGTAATGGCAGACAAGAGTATTGTGTTTAAGGTAAGGTCAGCATCACCAGATAGTGTAATTGTCAACAGTCTTATTCATTATAGGGGGTAGTAGCTAGTAAATTTTCCTGTTAACACAACTCCTATCATTGTTTGGTGTGTGTGTGTGATTCTCTTGCTTTCTACAGTCCACTCATACACTGGCCACAAGAGACTGGTATTTGTGGGGGTCTGAAGGAAAAAGGAGAAAGAAAGAAGACAAACTCACATTGTGAGAATGGAACTGTAGTTATGCAACATAAGAACTGCTGGATAGTTCGGTGATTTAGGCATCTGGCTGCGGAGCCAGAGATTGGCAGTTCGATTCCCCACTGTGTCTCCTTGACAAAGGCTGGATTCAGTGATCCACAGGGTCCCTTCCATCTCTGCACTTTTGAGATCACCAACTTGGTAGTAACCCCAGTCACTGCAAACAAATGAGTTTACCTACTGGCAGTAGATTTCAAGCTTCCAGGATCAACTTTATTACAAATCAAGAGATCCGTGGGAAAAAGTCAAAATTTTAAACAGTTTTCCACCTTGGTTTTTAATTTATTTTATTTTAAGATAATTTTTGAAGTATCAGGACTGAACAAAGCTTGCAGTTTTTTTTTCCACATAAAAGTACACTAGCATCTAATCTGAACTTTTTTTACTCGGTACATTGAGTAATTTTGTTGTTACTATGAATAAAAAAATTGCTTGTCTGCAGCAGATAACAGCTAACTGATTGAAGAACAATGAAATTACTTCTGTGAAGATTCTCAGTCATCCAGGTGTGGTTATCTGGAAGTCGAGTTGCCATGACTCAACTTCCAGATAATGAAATTACTTCCTTTTATTTTTGGTAGAACTTTTAGGTTGGGCTCTTAACTGTGAGAGATTCACTAAAAGGCTGTATGCTCTTTTTTTTGGAATATCAGTGCATGTGGTGAAATGAAAACATTCACTACCAGTAGCCAACAGATCTCCTTTCCAGCAAAACAATGAACTTTGTCACTCATAAATCCTTGTATTCATGTCCATTTTGCAGTTCCTGCAAGTTCATTAAGTGACCAAGAGGAGATGCTCTGATTTCCAGACAGGCATCTATTATTTCAAACAAATTCCAACCCAATGATTTATATTTTTGTTAAATGGCACAACAAGATAAAGTTCAATTTGCATAGTGGCATTCTTGACTTAGCAGTATTTTACCATAGTTAAATTCACAGACACTGGGCAATATGTGACTGGTGAGTTGCTTAGGGCTTCAGCTGTAGAAGTGGTCACAGCAGTGCTGCTGGCTGAAAAGGTTTATTTTAGGGCGGGCAGGGGAGCCCTTTTATTGCTTTCCCTCTTTGTGGAATTCTGCTTTTAGTAAAATTATCTCATGATTGTGAAGGCTATTGTAAATAGCAAAATGGTGCTATGAAAGAGGCTTAATCTTTCGTTTTGTTTTATGGAATTTGCATAAACACAACGTTGTAAAAGCTCTTAATCTTTTTCCTCCTTTGCCAAAAACAAGTCATTGGGTGTTCTGCAGACTGATTAAATGTATTCTGAAATGACCCTTCAGAGTGTAATAGGGCCTTCTCTGCTGGCCTCCTGGAGTGTTGGAATGCATAGGCCCTTCCACTTGGATTCTAGCCCAGTTCCTGCTCCCACATCTGCGTGGCACCCTCCTGCCTTACCCATTTGTTTTCAGTCTGATTGTATGGTGGATCCTTGTATTTACTCAGAAACATTTCTGTCTGCTTTCCTATCCAATTTTTGTTGTTGTTGGTGGCGCTGGTAGTCATCTTATATGGTTGTCCAAGGCCATTTTGTGCTTTAAAGCTTTTTTTAAAAAATCTAGAAGCAAAGCAATGATTGAAATCCTGTTCGCATCATAAGCTAAATCATAACTTTCTGTGTACTCCTCCCTGGTAAACAAAGTGCCCCTGCTGTGGTTCTCTCTTTGTATATCTGTGCACACTCAGGCATGGTGTATGCCCATGAGAATAGCAGCAGGAGTGGTTTATTTTCCAGGAAGTATCAGACTGAAAATTATAAGTTGGCTTATACAGTATTACAAGCAGGATTTCAGCTTGAACCTGATGGGGCTGGTAAAAATGCTAGAATTTATACTATAATCCATGGAATTCTCCTCGGAATGACAGGATTGCAACATGATTCTTCTTTAAAAGCATGTCTTCTTTTAGCAGTAACAGAAAAGTTGAACACACGCACACGCACATGCACAGACACACAATCGGAATGCTTTTTAAACCAGAAGTGATTTTCTGATCATTTTCAGCTTTGTTTAGAGGGCAGCGCCAGCTCCAAGAAGATCACGGGGCTGAACAGAAAGGGCACCAAGATTGCTAGAGCTTGCTCACTACAGGGCTATATCGTCATTTCCAGTCAGCACTCCAAAAGCTGCTCTTTGAACCTGTGGACATTTCCATCCCATGCAGAGTGTTTTAGAGTAATCCAGTAATCGTGTTTTAACAGTCCAATCCAGCGCCTCCAAGCATTTGAGATCTGTCTTATTCCTTCTCCCCTCCCTTCTGGGTGTTTAGGTCCGCAATTATATCAAAGAGCATGGCCCTCGGCAACGGTCTGCGAGAGAGAATTGGAAGCGGAGCAGCTACAGTTGCGGGAGCGCCAGCGGGGTGAGCGGCGTCAGTGCTAGCGCCAGCAGCAGCGCCAGCATGGTCAGCTCAGCCAGCAGTACCGGTTCCAGCGTTGGCAACTCGGGCTCAAACTCCAGCACCAACATGAGCCGGGCTCACAGTGACAGTAACTTATCTACAAGTGCTGCAGAACGAATCAGAGATTCAAAAGTAAAACCTTTGTATTTTTTGATCATATATGCCTAAAGCTTGTTCTGGATGTTTCATTTTGTATGTGGGTGTGAGCGAGTTAATACCTTTTGAGTAAATCGTTGGGCTAAATGCAGCTGTTAGTCCCAAATAGATCAGACGGAAATCAATAGGATTTATATAGAGTATTAACTGAACAGGTCTTTTTCATTCAGTGGGTACACTCTACAGTGGACCCTTGACTTACAGACGGCTTGACTTACAGACTTTTTGAGTTACAGACTTCTGTGGCCGCAAAATTTAGGTTTGACTTGCAGACTGAGATTTGACTTACAGACCAGAAAAAAACCAAAATGGAACAAAAACGGCCTGTTATGGGATTAATCGATTTTCAATGCACTGTGGGTCAATGGAGACTTGACTTACAGACTTTTTGACTTGAGAACCACCTTCCAATACGGATTAAGTGTTTTCATTCAGTGGGTATACTCTAGTTGGAAATGGTAACTGAATATGGCCAGTTATTTGTTGCAATAAGCCAGTGAATGTTTGGTTTTTCAGATCCTGAAAAGAAACAGTCTTACTTAGAAGGCAAGCTCTGGTTATTGTTTATGAGATTCACTTGCAGTTTTGTATCAAATCTGAAGAATTGAATAGTTTCCTGAGAAAATAGTACTCAAATAAGTTCATTGATTGTAAATATTATGGGAAGTTGAAGAGTAAAAGAGTCACTGACATTTTCAGCAGTTTCCTGAGAAAACAGTACTCAAATAGGTTCATTGATTGTAAATATTACAGGAAAGAAGAGTAAAAGAGTCACTGACATTTTCAGCCAGTTGCTGTCAGTTTCAGTTACCTGTGTTTCTCATTGGGAGGAAAACCATTCTCTCCCCAGAAATTTTTTCCTGGCTATTTAAATATTAAACTTTGCAGATTTTTTTTAAACCCCACAATTTTAAAGCACGTTAGTGCTCTGTAGGAGCTTGGATTTTTTTTGTTGCTTGAGGGTATTTTGGTTTCATTCTCTGGCTCTTTTCGGTTGACTAAATGCCAAGTTAGCCACAGCTAGAGTAAACTCACTAAAAGCAGTGGGATTTACGTAAGTGGTGAATGAGCCCCACTTATGTATGTGGGTTTACTCTAGTCAAGATTAACATTGGATTTGACTTTGTTTTCAGTTTTATATTATGTTTTGTTTCTGTGTTTTCTTATTTTTGTGATAACACAAACTCTAAAAGCTTTAGCTGTTTGATAATATTGAAATGAGACTAATGAGTCATCTACAAGGGCAGGCCTTCCAGAGTCATTGAATTCTTGTCATATATAGCTGAAAACTGCCATGCATGCAGAAAGAAATCCTCCCTTCTGTCTTGCCAGATAACTTGTATCCTTAATCATTGTTTAGCTGAAAGTGAATGATTGAATTGGATCATGTTTTGCGTTAGGCGAGGACTAACTTGGGCTCTTCCCTTTATCTTGACAGAAACGTTCAAAGCAACGCAAGCTTCAACAAAAAGCTTTGCGCAAGAGGCAGCTGAAGGAGCAAAGGCAGGCGCGGAAGGAGAGACTGAGCGGTTTGTTTCTGAACGAAGAGGTGCTTTCTCTAAAAGTGACTGAGGAAGACCACGAAGGAGATGTGGACGTCTTGATGTGAGAGAGAATTGAATTTATCATCCCTGTTCTTTCTAAGCCTTAAAACTATTAATCCTGTTTACATACACTTCTACCAACAGTTTGATTGGAGCTGGGGTTAGCTGTCTTGTGTGTCATTTATTCATAGCTTCAAAAGCAACAGTTCTGGGTTTTGTTTTGCTTTTTTGTTTTGTTTTGACGAGTGGTAAGTGGTCAAGAAGATATTCTTTAAAAAAGGATAGACTGGGCATTTTGCTTTCAAATGTGAGTGTACATTCTATTTAAAGGCTGCATGTCTTGTTATTTCCAGTAAAGGTATAAAATGTGTTTCATCCTTGGTTAAATTTTTTTTTATCTGTCTACCTTCTATCTGGCCTGAACAGTTTTAGATTATCTTCTGTAATCAAAAATAAGCTCCATGAAGAATTATAATCTTTGATTATTTTTGCAATCCTCTCACAGCCTTGCACTGCATGAAACCATTCTTAGATTTGTCAAAGTGGTTGCTATAATCAGATCAAATGCAGGCCTGCAGTATATACGACTTAGCCAGTTAAATACAAGAGTATTCATCATGTCTAATAGCTCGCCTAGAGCTTTTTTGGACTCTCTTTTCTTGCCTGGGATACAAAAGCAGACGAGGGAAGAGTGTCTGGCAGGTCACAGTAAGCAGTTGCATTGAGCTTGGTAGGCCATCTGCATTGTGGAAGACAAGCTCTTAATTTAAAAAATTATACATTTCTCCCTATATAAGCTTATTTATCATGTTCCAAGCCATTGTCATGTGCCTTAAAATAATTCTGTTTAAAGGGAAGGCTATGCAGGAAACATGATATAAACTAGATGAAGCAGATGGAAAGGTTCTTATGCATGGTCCTTCAAAAATCCTAACCCTGTGTTAGGATCCCACCCATCCCCTACAAAAACAAACATCTTTATTCACTTTTGTGACTAATTGATCCAGTTTGGATAATTTGGATAAGTGGATTTCTGTTAATACAATATGACAATGTAAGCTATGAACACAACTTACTTGGTGCTGCCCTCTACCATATTCCTTTTCCTTAAAATGGAAATAGGCGGGAAGTTTCAAATGTAATCTTGAACTCTAGTGTACAAGTGTGAACCTCCTTGATTTGGTACGAGGAGGAAATTGAAAGCATCTGCTTCTGTTTTAAGCTAACCATAGTTGGTTGTGTTGTCTGAAATGGGATTATTGAAGATTCATTTAAATTGTGGCTTGTCTAAGGAAACTAACCTCACACTGCAATGTTTATTCTTGTGTAATTTGCTTAAAACCACTTGAAATGGAAAGTGACAATTAGTTAATTTTTAACGGAAATGAAAGCTTTGTGTGTCCTTCTTCTGTCACAACCAGGGAGCGCATGGAGGCAGCGGTGCTAGTTTAATATTGCTTCGTATTATGTCTGAACAACATCTGTCTTGGTTTAGGAGAAGATTTGGAATCTCTGGATTCCAAACACAGATATTTTGAAATAATTGGACAGGTTAGATTTCCAAGCAGCTGACCAGACACAGGTAGTCAGTTTCAGAGTGAAATAATATAAGACCTTTCAGCTCCAAAATATAGCATTTGCAGCAAACCATTTTAATTGCTCTCTCCATCTGTGCCCTCCTAGGTCTTGATACTTTGGATTAGTCACACAACATTTGCTAGTCACTCTGATTTATTTTTCAAATTGTACTTTTAATATATGTGCTTAAAAAAGGTAGCAAGTGGGTCACCCGATGAGTATCCATTTTGAGCTGAATTAGCATTTATTGTTCCAAAATAGAGCTAAGTGACTTTTAGCAAGTGGCAGTCCCAGGCCGTGTGTTTTTTTATCTCTTGCAGTGGATACCTTTTACAAATCTGGAAGCAAAATTAGTGCTTAATTCAGGTTGTCTTAGTAATGTTTAGTATCCTACAACTCTTTAAGCAGTATGATTCGGCAAAAGGTTTGCTTTACTGAAATGATTTCTCATAAAGCCTAGAAGGAGCACTGAAAACTTGATTGGAAAAAGTTGCTGTTCTTTTAGCTTGAGCATGAAGGCCTGTTTACATTTTGTGTGTACATGTATCCGCATTCAGTTTCCTCTTCTGCTTGAACCTTTCTGTAATCTTGTTTTCCAGCTGAAGCAGAACCGTGTGGTTTCTGTGAAGCAGAGCTAAAGATGTTACACTTCAGTTCTGTACAGAATGCTCACTTAAGTGGGTGATCTCACCTTCTGAGATGATTGCTTGGTTTGTGATTATTATTATTATTTTTTTAAGTTTTATTTTTTTACATGTTGGTCAAAGAAAAACTGTAAAGCTCTCAAGAGAAATTCTCTATCATAAAACTGTATATATGAATGTAAAATCCTTTCGAGTCCGATGTATGATAATTGTAGAGAGTTCTATAGCATATTAGCCAAACTTTGTAATAATACTAAAGCAAAATTATTTAATGATACCTGTTTCACCCCTGCCCTGGCAGGGGGTGGGGTTTGCCTCAGCAATAGTTGACACACTAGCCCTTCTAAAATTTTGGCATGCTTTTGACTCTTTAAGGCAATCTGGTTTTCCAGTGAATCACTTCTTTAAATTGCTGTCGTCTAAACACTGCGGTAGAGTTGGAGAACCTTTGACTGTCAGAGGCTTTAGACCTCTGTCCAGGAACCTCAACTAGCATGGCCAAGGAATTGAACTGTAGGACATGTAGTTGAAAACAGTTGGAGGGCCAGAGATCCCCACTCCTGCAGTACAGGTTTGCTCTTGCCTGAGTGATTCTGCAACCTGATGTCTTGCAAGTAATTGCAGATTATTATTTGACAGATTGGTCAGAACCAACGCAGTAGCGGGCTGCTAGCTTATAAATTGAGCCAAGATCATGTGCATTTTATTGGACTGGAAAATGTGAGAAAGAAGATGGATGAGAAATGCTTGTTATTACATGTTTTGTGACGATGGATAGTTAATCCGCATGAGCCCATAATATGGGTATCCTGAGGATAATGCTCTTCATAACCAAAGCAAAGAGGATGTTTTACTTTGGAGAATAGATAGTCTAAAATATATATTAAATCTGGACTATTTTTCCAGAATTTCTGCTAAAAATGTATGCTGAAATGCACGTGTATATATAACTGTTCATTGTACATTCTGTATCTATTTGCTCCCATGTTTGTAGACACCCCCCTTTTTTCTTGATGTTGTAAGAGATACAAACTACTGGGCACTGTCTTATTTCTTTTTTTTCCTAAGATCATAATTGTATTTGAAAATAGTCACATGAATATGGTAGCTTTGGATAGCATTAAAAACAACGAGATGCAACCAAATGTGTGTAGTGTGTTTGATAATAACTTACAATTCACTTGATTAAGCCCTAGGTTATTAATGTATATGTAATGAGAGCTCCCTGCTGCCAGGATTTCTGATGTTTCTAGGGGCCTGCACCTGCATCTCTTCAGTTTTACTTAGCCCCATTACTAGAGATGAGGGCATTCATATATGACTAAAAATATCCCCACAGAGGTGGACATAACGAGGGTTATATCCACTCACCAATCCATCGCAGGCGCCATGGGGCCTTCCAATGGCTCTGGAGATTGCGTTTGGCGAGCCACTTTGACCTAGCAGAGGCACTTGTCGTCCCACCTCCTTCCAGGAGTGCCGAGCCGATCGCGATCTCCGGAGACCTTGGAAGGCTCCAGCGACTGCGGTGGATCGGTGAGTGGACCGTCCGGCTCCATGGGGCTGGACCCTCATTATGTTCACCTATTTTTATACAAATACCCCTATCTCTGCCCAGCACCTGTTTTTCAAAAAGGAATAGTGTCCGAGAACACAGACATTCCAGGTAGTGACGTCATTCGTAGACCTTTCCTCCTCCATCTCTGTGCTGTTTTCTGGCCTGCATTTAAAGCCATCTCAGCTTAATGGTTGATTTTACCTCCACGTTGTGTGACAGTGAATTTTGTAACTTTATGCTCTGAATGAAGAAGACTGCAGCCAATCAATTTCCCTTGTGGTTACAAGTTTTTATTCATTTTCTATAGGGGTTGGGGTGTGGATATAGGGGAACAGGGAAGGGATGAGTAAGGATGGGGAAAAGGTAAAATTCCAGAGAGCAAAAGAGTACTCTTACATTCATTCACTTACTTAATTATGCTAAAAAGGTAAAATCACATAAGTAAACAATATAACAATCTTTCCAGAATATCTATTGTTACTACTCTCTCCATTCATTTGGACCTTCTTATACTACTTTATCTATACTTTCCAATCCATATTTTGGATCCAGTTTGTTCCCATTTTTTGAGTCCTTTTTGAGATGATCTTTCGTTTAATGCTTCTGTTAGTACTACATCCATCTCTGCCACTTCCAGTACCTTTTCTATCAGTCCCTTAAGAGATGGTACCTCTTCTTAATCCCAATATTTTCCATATAATATTCTCGCTACTGTAATTACATGTATGATCAAATATCTCATTTCTTTATCTACAATTTCAGTCATAATATTCAATAGAAACAATTCCTGTTTAAATGGTATCACATAAGATAATATTTTTGTAACATTTCATGTATTGATCTCCAATAATTCTTTGCTTCCCTGTATGTCTACCAGATACGGTAAAAACCAATCAATTTCCCTTTATAACCACTGGGTTTGTTTGGGGTGGTGTGGGGAAGAAAGCTTTTATATTAATTTTCTCCACACCATGACTCTCCCTTCTCCCTCATGGCCTTTTGTCTGATCTTCTAAGACAGTGGTTCCCAACCATGGGTCTCCAGATGTTCTTGGACTAAAACTCCCAAAAATCCTGGCCAGCACGACCAGTGGTGAAGGCTTCTGGGAGTTGTAGTACAAGAACATCTGGAGACCCATATTCTTGTACTACAACAATGTGCTGAAGTCAAACTACACGTTCCACTGGTCAGGAAGCTGCCTGTTGCCACTGTGTGACCCCCACTTCCCTACCACCGAGTGGGACCTCAAGCCCAAAGGAAGGGGGGGCAACCCTTACACCT